CCTTCGGACTCGACCCCACGTCGACCAGCTCTCAGACCATTCCTAAGGAGAAGTTCCAAGAAATGAAGAACGATCACTTGGATGTCGAGCCTTTCATTGACTGCAAAGATTGCTGTCGAAAACTACATCAAATCTGTGTCCTCCATCACGACGCCATTTGGCCCGAAGGGTATGTCTCACAGTATGTCTACCTATGGAATGGGTAATGAATTGTATAACTATTGTATAGATTCACGTGTGAGGGGTGTCTGCGAAGAGATGGGCGAAGAAAACGAGACAATAAATATAATGCCAAAAGTAAGTGAACTGTTTCTCGAGAGTATTTGATTGATTGACTGACAATGCAATGCAATTGAAAACTGTGTAGAACTGGCCAATTCAAAACTGGGACTATATATTGAGAACAGAGTCAACAACTTCTTACGCAAAAAAGACTGCGGCGCCGGAGAGGTGTCTATCAGAGTAGTGGCCGCTTCTGACAAATATGTTGATGTCAAACCCGGAATGAAGGCCAGGTATGCCATGGAATTACTGTTTGTACCGTAATTAGTGAAAGTAATGATTAACACCATTTGTTTGACGACCAGATATGTAGACACAGGCGAATGGCCCGAAACATTCCCTTATCGGGCAAAGGCTTTGTTTGCTTTCGAAGATATTGACGGCACTGATGTCTGCTTTTTTGGAATGCATGTCCAGGAATATGGATCCGATAGTAGTCCTCCAAATACAAGGTATTGATTGTGAAGGCACTCAATATTATAATCAGTATACTAACGATTATGTCTTAAGGCGAGTTTATTTGGCGTATTTGGATTCGGTTTACTTCTTCAGACCAAAACAGTACAGAACTGCTGTCTATCACGAGATACTTCTCGGGTATTTGGATTATGCAAAGCAATTGGGATATTGTATGGCTCACATCTGGGCCTGTCCTCCATCTGAAGGTTTGTTTCATTAATCACTCCAATTATTGCTTAGTTTGGCTCTAATTCTCCATTTCATTGGATACCATTTAGGAGACGATTATATATTCCATTGCCATCCGACTGAACAAAAGATACCGAAACCCAAGAGATTGCAGGAATGGTATAAGAAAATGCTCGACAAAGGAATCATTGAGCGAATTGTGTTGGACTACAAGGATATCCTCAAACAGGCCACTGAAGACAATTTTCGCATCGCGTCAGAACTGCCATATTTTGAAGGTTTGTTTCATTTCTTGCTAACATATCTCCATTTATTGAGACTATGAGCACATCTCCAGAGTTTGATTACCAGTTTTACAATTGTTTGTTCATTATTACAGTCACTTGAATAAATGTTTAGTGTTTCTCAAAGTCTGGAGTCCAGACTCTGGACAATGAGTTAGAAATGAATAATTAATAGAAATTACCTATCATATATTATAAATCAATGTTAAGTTTGGCATTTAAATACAGTAGTAATATTACCGGTATGATTGATCACAGATTACTGGATAAACCCGATTAACATTATCTTTAAAACTCGATGACAAGTAGTGTCACTTTTTCTTACATTACTTGATTACACTGTATGAGTGAATAAGTTGTCTGAAATGAAAGCTCATTTGACACGACTTTAGGTGACTTTTGGCCCAATGTTTTGGAGGATTCAATAAGATACCGAAACCCAAGAGATTGCAGGAATGGTATAAGAAAATGCTCGACAAAGGAATCATTGAGCGAATTGTGTTGGACTACAAGGATATCCTCAAACAGGCCACTGAAGACAATTTTCGCATCGCATCAGAACTGCCATATTTTGAAGGTTTGTTTCATTTCTTGCTAACATATCTCCATTTATTGAGACTATGAGCACATCTCCAGAGTTTTATTACCAGTTTTACAATTTTTTGTTTATTATTACAGTCACTTGAATCAATGTTTAGTGTTTCTCAAAGTCTGGAGTCCAGACTCTGGACAATGAGTTAGAAATGAATAATTAATAGAAATTACCTATCATATATTATAAATCAATGTTAAGTTTGACATTTAAATACAGTAGTAATATTACCGGTATGATTGATCACAGATTACTGGATAAACCCGATTAACATGATCTTAAAAACTAGGTATTAACTTATAAGTACATTTGTTATTACCGTAGTCTATTAGTAACGTGTCAAGTAATTATTAAATATTGTCTTAAATATTGTATTAAAACTTGACAAGTAGTGTCACTTTTTCTTACATTACTTGATTACACTGTATGAGTGAATAAGTTGTCTGAAATGAAAGCTCATTTGACACGACTTTAGGTGACTTTTGGCCCAATGTTTTGGAGGATTCAATCAAAGAGATAGAAATGGAACAACAGAAACAACAGCAACAATCCGATTCTTCAAAGAATATGGATTTACTTAATAATTCCGGGAATCCAACGGATGAAGAATCGATGGGTTAGTAGTGTTTGATTTGATAGATGATTGAATCGATTGAATCAATGACTGACTGATTGATTGTATTGATTGGTAGATATGCTGGACTGTAGTGATAGTCAGAACAGCAAGAATATGGAGACTAATGGCTCGAAAAGCAGTTCAAATAAAGAGACAAATAGTGGTAATAATTCTAATATAAAGCAGAACAAGAAGTCGAGCGGAAACAAGAAGTCCAACAAAAAGCAGAATCAAAGGAAGAATAACGTCCACAACGCGCGACATAAAAGCGGTGGAACGCCGTCTACTACTCAACAGCCGAGTTCACAACAGCCGCAGTTGTCTGCAGCACAACAGTGGGATTCAGACCTGACGGCAAAGATCTACGCAACGATGGATAAGCATAAGGAAGTGTTTTTCGTAGTGCGCCTCCACTCGAGCCAATCGGCCGCCAGTCTGCCTCCGGTCCAAGATCTCGATCCTCTCACTAATTGTGATCTAATGGACGGGAGGGACGCCTTCCTGACACTGGCCCGAGAGAAACACTACGAGTTCTCAAGTCTTCGACGCGCGAAGTTCTCCAGTCTTGCAATGCTTTACGAACTGCACAACAGTTGCAATGATAGGTTCGTCTATACGTGCAATACATGCAAAAGACATTTAGTCGAAACCAGATATCATTGCACGCAATGCGATGACTTTGATCTCTGTGTGGCCTGTTATCAACGTGACGGACACACCCACCCGATGGACAAACTTGGCTTTGGAGACCTCGTCGGTGGCGTTGCCGGTGAGGACGGAGCAGTGGCCGGTATGTCATACTTATGTCTATTAGTTATTGAGTCGCTTAATAAGACACTATATTCTTAGGCTCTTCTGGAGGAGTGGCGGCTGGAAGTGATTTGGACGGAAGCGGTGAGAATGCGGGCGGAGGCTCTTCGAACACATCCCCGGGCGAGTCGCGGCGCCTATCGATTCAGCGATGCATTCAGAGTCTAGTGCACGCGTGTCAGTGTCGGGACGCCAACTGTCGACTCCCATCGTGTCATAAGATGAAGCGAGTCGTACAACACGCCAAGTCCTGCAAACGCAAGTCCAACCAACCCAACCAAACGGCTGCCCCCGGCTGTCCCATCTGTAAACAGCTGATCGCCCTGTGCTGCTATCACGCCAAGCACTGTCAGGAAAACAAATGTCCCGTTCCTTACTGTATAAACATTAAGCACAAACTCAGACAACAGCAACTCCAGCAGCGCCTACAACAGGCACAGATTCTTAAGAGACGTATTGCCTCCATGGCCAGTATGTCTCAACAGTCATCACAACCACCACCCACTCCACAGCACGACTTCAGTCCACAACAGCCACAGTCCACTGTAAGTGATAATGCAGTTATGGTTATGTCATTGTTTGCTATAATTGTATGCCTTTTCAGCCACAACAGCACTACATGAAGCCGGCGACCGCCACACCCCCGCCAGTCGCTGCTCTCCAAGCAGTGGCTCGCGTTCAAGAAGTTGTTGCGCGACAACAACAACAACCGCAGCAACAAAACCAGTTAAGCAATCCGTACGGAAAGGGCAAACCTATGCACCACTTCCAACAGACAGGCAAACCAAACCAAACGCAACCACAGTTGCAAACACAGCCTCAGCCGCAGACTGTGAGACCTCCCGCTCCCAACCAACAGATGCTTCAACAACACCAACAGAGAATGCTTTTGGCTCAACAGCAACAGCAGCAGCNAACCAAACCAAACGCAACCACAGTTGCAAACACAGCCTCAGCCGCAGACTGTGAGACCTCCCGCTCCCAACCAACAGATGCTTCAACAACACCAACAGAGAATGCTTTTGGCTCAACAGCAACAGCAACAGCAACAGCAACAGCAACAACAGCAGCAGCAACAACAACAACAACAACAACAGGTCCAACAACAGCAACAACAGGTCCAACAACAGGTACAGCAGCCCTGGTATGACTCGACGGCACAACAGCCGAATCGAGCGCCTCAACAGTTGCAACAACAGCAGAGATTCCTTCGTATGCCCGGCGGTGGTAAACCTCAGCAGCAGATGATGTCGACGACTGCCANCAACAACAGGTACAGCAGCCCTGGTATGACTCGACGGCACAACAGCCGAATCGAGCGCCTCAACAGTTGCAACAACAGCAGAGATTCCTTCGTATGCCCGGCGGTGGTAAACCTCAGCAGCAGATGATGTCGACGACTGCCAACTCCTCACAACAAATGCTATCACAACAACAGTCGCAACAAATGCTTCCGCAAACCAATAATAATCCACAAACAGTGCAACTGATGCACACGTCTGCCAACCCATCACAACAACTGCCAATTCAACAACAAATACAACAACAGAATCTCTTGCCTTCCGTTCTGAACACCAATGTTGGGCCACAACCACAGCAACAACAACAGCAACAGATGAATGTAAATCTTGGACAACAGGTAACGTTACACTTCTTGTCATATTTGAGCCATTATTGCTAAACTAATTGATATGTATGTGTGTATCAGATCCAGAACTCAATCCCTGGGACGGCCACTATGAACCAAATTCCAAGCAATCCTACTCAACAACAACACGCTCTCCAACAGCTGTTGGCGACTCTTAAGTCACCCGCTTCTCCACAACAACAGCAACAAGTGCTTAGTATTCTGAAGTCCAATCCCGCTCTGATGGCAGCCTTTATTAAACA